CCATTATTCCATACCTTTTAGGAATAATTACAGAAGTAAACAAGGATAACACTACTTACCTAAAAATCGGAAATAGACTATTAGCGCCAATAAAAGTAACTAAAGAACTAAGAAAAGGATGCAATATCTTTGTTAACTTAATCTTAACTTACTGTTTAATTTATATATTAAGGCAGCCCTCCATTGGAAAAACCACTGTCAGGGAACGCCATAGGAAATGACGTACTGTTTTCCCTGAACTTTGCGGATGACCAAATCGTCCTAGCTCAAGATTCTTATGATCTAGAATTTATGATAAAGTGCCTATACAGAGAATATGGAAAATGGGGGTTACAAGTCAGCATGAAGAAAACAATATTTAGATAGATATTTAATAGATAACAAGAAATACAGACACAAAGAGTGGTCTTTATTTTGTGTCATCTATAGTTTATTTTTATGAACGAGAGAGTAATTAGCATAATTTTAACTGGTACCTCCGACCACTCCATGGGCGTGCTCAAGATTAATTGAAACATTACTTTGAATAATTGTAAAAAATAAATGAATTATTTCAGTGTTATAAAGTGTTATGTGTATGTAAACAAAAGTGACCTCTTTTATCACACACTATATTAGAACTGACTGCCTACATTAAAAAGGGTTTTAAAAAATTCACATTTTTTTTAATTTTTAAAAATTACAAAAGAGAAAAAGAGTTTTTAAAACCGTCTAAGGTATGTTAAATAGATGAATAAAAATATTAATATAAAACTTACAGCTACTTGTTACAAATCCAAATCAGATTCAGAAGATGAACTTTCAGAACCAAGATTTATAATAACTAGCTCGATCATTTTATCAGTAATATTGTCCAGTTTCCACATTTTTTCCTCTTCTTTAATAGTGTGATTTACTGCCTTTTCCCAGTTTTCAGGTTTAACATTATTTACGGCCTCCAAAAACAACTGTTTAACATCATGAATTTTAAAAGTGGTATTTTTTCTTGAAACTTCACTCTTAATCTGTGCCCATACCAGTTCAATCGGGTTTAATTCACAATGATATGGTGGGGATCTAAGTACTGTCATTCCACGATTTTTGGCAATTTCATCAATTTCGTATTTTTTAAATTTTTCTTTATGAAGGGCACACAACGAATAAAGTTCCTTTCTTATAGATCCGGAATGGTACGTAATATTTTTTGAACTCAGCCAATTCTGCAAGTCTTTTTTTAACCACTTGGTTGTGGGCAGTCCTTCTATAAGTCTGGAGTGATAACTTGCATTATCCATTACTATTACACAGTTCTTAGGAAGAAGCTCTATCATTTGTTCGAACCATTCTTGAAAGACATCAGCGTTCATGTCTTCATGGTAGTCACCGGTACGAGTTGATTCAAAAGTTAATAAACCACCTTCAACAAAACCGTCTGAACTGCCAATGTGTACTATTATCAGCCTGCGTCCCTTTCCTGATGGTGGGTTTAAACCAGTAGATAAGTTATTTACAAAAGCGTGCCTTTGACTTGTAACAGTTTCATCCTGCCAAAATTTATTTGGTGTATGACCTCGTTGATCCATGTTTCATCAAGATAAAATATTTTTCTTTTTTGGTTTCTCATTTCCTTTATCGTTCTTAGAAAATGTCTTCTCCATATGACAATATCGCTTCTTTCTAATAAAATAGACTTTCTGGGATTCTTTTTCCAGCGGAAGCTTATTTCTTTTAAAAGTTTCCATAACGTACTTCGACTCATTTCTGGGTAATCCTTATCATCTCGAACTGAGACAAGAACTTTATCCAATGTTGGAAATTCTTGTCTAAAGAAGAATTCATGCACTTTCCGTCGAAGTCCTTCTTTAAAATGATATTCTATTTGAAATTTTGGTTTCCCTGGAGCATTACGTGGCATTTGAAAACTACCACATTTCTCTTCTTTAATAACTCTGTAAATCGTAGATTTCCCAACACTAAGTGTACTGCTAACTAACTCAACGGTCTCGTCAACACTTTCACATAAACGTTTGTCTGTAAATGATTTAAAACAATTAAATATTAATGTTTTTTCATTAACTGTTAAAGGACCAATTTTTCGGCGTTTACACAGCACTTCCAAATTTTCCATAACACTAGTATACACAATAAACTGCACCTTGCAACTGAAGTACCTACTTTTAGTGAACTGTTAAGAATTTTGAACACGCCACTTGGACCTTCCTACAAAATGGAAAAACCCACTATCACATTTTCTGTGGAATAAGTTTAGAAGATCTAGTCAATTACTGTCGTAGATTCCTGGAATTAAAGAATTAAATGTTTGATTGTTGAAACCCCTTACCTTACTGGGGAATGCACTCATTTCAGATAAAATAAAACGTTTTATTTTATCTAAAGAATTAAACTTTATTTTGCAAATAAGTAGGTACTTATTAAACTTTTATTGGTTATATATAACCAATAAAATAAACATCTTACATTTCTTGCAAATTCATTAGTACCTGTTAACGTCCATCACTCCGACACTGGCAACCTTATTTAGGGATTAGTAACCCTCACAACTATTGTATTCTATTCTGCTCCAACCTTTATACCTGGTGGTCATACTCAATTTAAAATTGTTTTCCTATATACTTCCGTAAACTTGTTGACAAATATCTGTTTTTCATTGAGTCACCCGTATCAACAGTTTAGGGGTTTGCATACATAATTTATTGTTTTATTACTCTCTCATACATAAAAATACACTATAGTGTAGATTGTAGTAAAATACAAGATAAGAAAAGCAATGGAGAGAATAATATTAGGGGTTTTTCTAAAAAGATCAGGAGTAGTACAAATTATTGAAAAAATAACAACACTAAAATGGAACTGTGCAGGTCATGCAGCAAGAGCAATCGATGATCCGTGGACGAAAAGAATTTTGGAATGGAAACCCCAAATACAAGTTGACAAACACAATACACTGATACAAACAGAAACAGAAATCTCGACCCCTCCGAAGAGATGGACCGATGACATAAAAATAGTGACTACAAATTGGATTAGATGGCGCAAAATCGGATTACGTGGAAAAGCATGCGGGAGGCTTATGTTCAGCAGTGCACTTGAATGTTAGATGATGATGATCGTGAATGGATATCATATGTAGCAGACCTACTTACTCTTAATTCTACCTTTCTCTCTTCGAGTCTGTCTTCAATCTCGATCTGGCACCATGTCGTAGTGTGAACAGAGACATATTTTTTACATAGAAAAGACAGATATTCATGCCTTATGGTGCGTACTTGCTGGTTTAGAAATTTATTTTTGGAATATAAAGGTATTTTTAAAATACTTTTCTCTTTCTAAAATAATTATCATTGGTAACATGATGACACTTCTTACGTAGTATATTATACGTTACCAATTACAGCTGAAGAAATTATCACACACTAACATTAGCTGAATTCTTTATGACTATGATCATGAAAATATGGTTAGATGGATATGACCCATCTCAACAGAATGCACCTACTTTTATCTTAAAAAACCGAAGATTTTTAATGTTCTAAGCTTTTCAACTAACGGTATTTTATGATGCTTTATCCATCGACTCAAAGTGTATTATTAAAATATCAAAATAGACGTGTTTTTATTAATAAATGTGCGTTACAAATAGCTGCAATAAAACATTTTGTGTAAAAATATAGAAAATTCAGTAGACAATATAAAATAACCTAACATAATCTAATTATTCTATCGAAATTACAAAAACAAATAATAAACTACCGATCAAAAAACTCATACTTGTTAAAACTATCTAATGGCCTGATAAGTAAGCTACTTCGCCGATTAGGGCGCTGCGATCACATAAAAACACTAGTTCTAGAAAGTCTAATATTTTTTATAGTATAAGATAAGATCCTACTGCAGGAGCACTGCTTTCATAACGTCGTTAATCAAACGCACATTTTTACATACATTTAAAATCAGGATAACACATTGATAGTAGGTTGCCAATCAAAAAGTGACCGAATATATTTTGCCGCGTGCAGTCATTCATTTTTGACAGATGTTTAAATTTGACGTGTTTGACAAAGGAAGCAAAAGAAAAGCTAGATAAATATTATGGGACTAATGCTGCTTCAAACTACACCGTATATCTACATTTGATGAACCACGTACTCACTGGTACCCGATGCAGTTACACCAGAAAATGTGAAGAAAGTCCTTGAAATGGTTTTATCTGGTCGTAAAGTGAAGGTGCGTGAATTGGCAAAGGCTATAAAAATTAGTAAAGTGGATACTAGTCATATTTTGAACATAGTTTTGAATATCAAAAAATTATCCTGCCGATGGGTGCCGCATTTGCTAGCCATTGACCAAAAATATGATCGTGTGACCACTTCTCAGCAGTGTTGAGACCTTATGACGTCAGAGTTTTGGCGTCTATTGGTAATCTTTGATGAAATTTGGATGCACTACTACATACCAGAGACTATAATGAACGCACGACAGTCGACTGAAGCCGAAAAAAGTACTCCCAAGAGGCCAAGAGTGGCTCAATGAGTTGGAAAGAATATGACCACTATATTTTGGGATTGCAAAGGTATAATTTTAATTAACCATCTTGAAAAACCTAAAACTATCAGTAGCCAATGTTATTATGCATTATTGGACAAATTGAAGTAGGAACTCAGTGGGAAACGGCCCCATATGCAGAAGAAAAAAGTGTTGGTTAGCCAAGACAATGCATCAGCTCACGAGAGCGTTATGTCAATGGAAAAAATTCATGATCTGGGCTTAGAATTGCTTTCTCATCCGACTTATTCTCCTGATTTAGCTGCTTTTGATTATTAATGGTTCCCAAATCTATTGCCTCTCAAATTAAAAAATCAGCTCGAACGAAGACATAAATGACGAAACATTTTGCAGAGCTTCCAGAATCTTATTATTCAGACGCCATAAAGAACTTAAACAATCGTTGGAATCGTTGTATTGAGCAACAACAAGACTATATCAAATAGTATAATATAATTTTCTGAAAAAACATGTTTTTTGTTTTAAAGGTTACTTATCAGACCACCTAGTACCCTGTAACTGTGGATTAAATAAAGTAACCACTACACTAATTCCCGATGAAATGAGTTTGTCAGCTTGCTGAGCCATAGAGGTGATTTAATTGTGACTGTATTAAATTGTTTTCTTTTTCATGTCTAGTATACTTTCATCAATCCAATTAACAGCGCTATACGTAAGTTTTACAAACTGTAACAATAAGAGATTCATACTACGTTAATTAAAATACACCTATAAATCTTTAGGAAGACCTTCATTTGTCAATAGGTGTTCTTTAGGATCTTCTATAATTCTTGGACCATTTCCAACGGTGGTATGTATGATAAATTTAAGAAGCCCAGGTTTCTGTTGTTTTGGTTCGAATGACAATTTTAGCTCCTGAAACAAAAATACATTTTCTCAAGTTTTATTAGAACATTAGGTAATATTTGAACTGAAGAAGAGTACCGAAATATTGGGAACAAATAGTGTAATACAGTTAGACAAATTTTGGAAAAGACTATGAGTATAATATGAAGATACAGTTCCCGCCCTAAGTGATAAAATAAGTTTTACATATCAACACGTTCGCTGCCATGTTGGTCCGATGGGACCATCACTGATGTTGCTTCAATAGGCCAGGTTGGTCCAATGGGACCAACGCAAGTATTGCATTAACAGGCCATGTTGGCCCTATGGGACCAACATTTATTCCGATATGTACCGAGCCATTGGTGTTTATTTAGTATTAAATCACCATGGGAATGGACCAACGAGGGCTACAAGCTACAGTGCTGTATAGAGAATTTGTGCGATTTATGGAGTATGACAAATGTGGTCCCATATAAGTCAAAAACGTTATTTACAACTTTGGGATGATATTTATTGATACACACATGTTTTTCAACAACAGAAAAATCAAATAATGTAAAACAACCAATAAAATAAGTTATTTAAATTCTATGTAATTCATTAAAACAACCTATACACAGAAAAGGTTCCTTGTCACAGCTTTTGTAAAAGGTGTCTACCTTTTTAGTTTTGTTCATAGCATACTGACGGCCGTGTTGCTCACTATTTTTTTTGTAACAGTTCTTGCAAATCTTCCTTCGTTGATGTTTACTTCCGTCTGCCTTCTGTTCAAGCTGATGGTGATTATTTGACACACTTCGTGGTACAGTAGTGGTTTCTTTATAAGTAACTAGATGTTTCACTATTTGTTTTTTAAAATTTGTCACCGACATGTTGTTATTTGTTACAAGCTTATATATTAAAAAAGAATTTATAACTGATGTAGTTAATAATAATTCAAACCCCACTTTTTTAAACCATTTTACGCTTTTCCTTAGGGGGTTGGAATACGCTCCCATTTGGTCAGATAAGTCTACTGCCGCTTTGCCTTTATTGTAATCTATTACCACCTTGGGTTTCAGTTTAGTTTGTCGATTACAAGATACTTCGACCATTTCATTGCCGTGTTTAGTAGAAAGCATGTAAATATTTCTTTTGTCTTTCCAGTTCGTAATGGTCACTCCATCATCACTTTCCATAGAAGCAATCTGCCCTTTATTTAATTTTGCAGCTACTACTTCATGGGGTAAATATTTTCGATTTTTTCGAACAGTTCCTATCAGGTGTGTATCGACGGACAACATTTTTTTTGCTAGCGGTAAACTTGTATACCAATTGTCGGTTATCAGAGTTCTTCCTTGATGTACTAAATCCTCCATAAGATACAGAACAACGCTTTCTGTAGTGACGTTAGAACTATTTTCTTTCCCTGCATATACTTTGAAATTGTAAGTATATCCAGATCCAGAACATACTTTAAAAATTTTTACACCATATTTGTATCTTTTTGTCTTAATGTACTGTTTAAACCCCAAGTGTCCCCTAAAGGGTAATAGGGTTTCATCGATGCAGACATATTCTTCCGGCACGTATAAAGACTTAAAATTTGCAGTCAGAATGTCGACAAGTGGCTTTAACTTATACAGTTTATCACTTGTATCTGCCAATAAATTATCATTAAAGTGAAACATCCTTAACAGCATCTCGAATCGATTTCTAGACATTTTGAAATACTGGATGCAATCTCTACGCAATTACAACAAAGATTCGAAGACACCCATTTACTCTCTTTCGTCAGCTTACTAAACAAAAACAGTTTCGTAAATTATAATAAACAATTTCCAAAAAATCTCTCAGTTGTTCTAGATAAAGTATATCCTGAAACTTTTGATATGAGAAAATTAGAAAATGAGTTGATTGTAATTTATTCAGATGAACAAAAACATTTAGAACCTTACCATCTTTTTTCATAATATATTTTTGACAACGAGTTAACAGAAGTAATTTCTGAATGCTATAAGTTACTAAAATTATTTTTGACCATTCCTGTAACAACGGCCTCATCTGAAAGATCTATGAGCACTTTAAAAACAATTAAAACATATTTGCGGAATTCAATGACTACTGCTTTACTTTCCTCATTATCCACTTTAAGCATTGAAAAGGATATGGTGCACTCAATTACTCCAGAAATGAAAGAACAAGATATTGACTATTTTACTATTTTAATAAAAATAAAAAAATTGACTTAATATATAAAAAAATTTAATATTTATTGTTTAACGAATAAACATTATAGTTAAGTTTATTTTTTGTTTTAAAAAATGTGTCCATGTTTTTGTTGTGTTTACTTGTTTATGTTTATGAAAATAAAATATTTAAAAAATATTCTGTTTTATTTTCCTCACTCCTGAAATAAGGATTACTCCTTTAAAATTATCTACCCAAAATTGTTCATCAAGCTTCGCCACTGAATATATCATTGATGTAGATACTGAAGAGAATTGATCTTAAGACTGTTACCTGAGGGACTCCATTGGATATAATTCTTATAGACGTAGTCTCTAAACAGACTTTAGGTAGCAACTAATCAAAATGATATTGTACAAAGGATGCATGAACAAACAATCAATGTAATCCACGTGTTTGTTCATACATCGTTTCTACAATATCATTTTGATCCGTTGTTAAGTAAAGTCCATTTAGAAGTGAATCTACTAAAATTTTGACATGATAATTTAATCACAATTAAATAACATTTAAAGGGTTTTCATCCATATATTTAGTGGCTTTAAACATGTATATCTAGTAGAAGCACTGAAGATGGAATATTTATACCGAAAACGTTCTGTAATTTAGAACTTTTTAAATAAATATACCTTTTATAAAAGAGTTTTTAGTAAACACTTTTGTGATATATGGTATACAGTCGATTACAGGGAATTAACTTTTTCTTTGTGGGCTTATAAGGATAATATTAATAACTTTCATACTTACTTCTTTTATTATCTTCGGTTCTGTTTTTATACCTCTTATATATTCTAAATTGTTAAGATCAGTCGGTGGTTGGAAGACATAATTGATCACAGATAACAATTCATCTACCTCTGATTCCAGTAAGAATAAACACGCATTTGGGCCAGCATCAAAAGTATATGCAACCTAAAATAAAATGAGCAATAGTAACTTTTATAAAATTTTACGGATCGAAATTATTAGTCCGCGTAACATAGAGCAAATATATCTCTATATTTCGTCGTAAAAAATTAATATTTTCGACAAACATTTTCACTCCGTATTATATGACAAATTTTCATCACTGCAAGTAAAACGCTAAGGACCGGTTGCTCGAACGTTAATCAAAACTTAAATATTTAAGGTGGTATGTCACAATGTTAAAATTTATATACTTTTCAGGTACAGTTATCGTCACTATTTCAAAACAGATCTTCAAGTTATGGTTATGTACGTAAACTGTAAACCTTCTATTTTAATGATATCTAGTTAACATTTTCAAAAACAGCAGTATTTTTTTCATAACTGTACTTAAATACATCCATGTCATAACTTACGTGGTAACGTGCCTAAAAATTGGTATTGTGAAATAATTATTGAACTTAGGTGCAAAATAACTACGTTAAATGATTAACTATCCAAAAACCTTTATTTTAAGCAAATGTTTGTTATCCATACTGCCGTAATTTTTAAATTAACTGTACCTAAAGATAAAATTACAATTAAAAGCTGCAAACTAGGGATTTTGTTGATGTTACCGTAATAAGTTGGCATTTTGATAGTGAGAAATTAGTTCAGCTATCACTTAACAGATGAGAAAATAAGTTCATGTGTCATTTAGTAGAGGGCAGCACTGATGTATTAAATAGCGATAGATGCGCGTTTGCCGAATTTAAGAAAAATCTGCAAAACATTGAAAACTAGTTTTGTGGTTATTCCAATTGTCTATGAGTTATGCAGTAACTATAGTAACGAATCACGTGGTTTTGTTAGCAAGGCGGCTCCTCCCAGTAGTTAATATTGTGGCTTCGTTTGAGTTTGACTGTCTTTCTATGTTCAATCGTGATTGTATAAGGGAACAATGTCTTAAATATACAAGTATACCATTTTTTTCCTTGGTACCCTGACGTTATATAATCGTGGTTGAAAGTCAAACTATGGTCAGTAAAGTTTACTGCGGGATTATACTGGTTTTTACATAATATATAAACATAAAAACAATTCGTTTTATTAAATTTGTAACAAATTTAATTTTTATAGACAAAACAATAATATGTAATGATCGATTAAATTTTGTCGATTATTTCCGGAAGAAAATAAGATTATTGATATTTACTTTAATATTTACTTGAGTCATAATTAGAAACGAGATGAAAATCTGAAATTTTCTGAGGAAAACACTTCCCCTGTTGACATTCGATATGAAAAAATTGTTATTATATATTATAATAATTATTATAAATATATTATTAATAATAATTAATGTTATATATTTTAGATTTCTTATAAATACTGTTTTTATATATAAATAGTCGATTGAATTACCATAATCCCTTTTTGATCATTATTTACCTGTTTTTCAAATAATTGCAAATTTCTTTTCAGTTTGAAATAAATATTTTTGGGTAGATAAATAATTCAGACTTGTCGCCTGAAATATGAGTAATTAAAATACCTCCAAATGAATGAACGTTTTGTGTATACAAGGTCAAGTAACAAAAATCCCTAATCAGCACATCCAGCTGATTGCTGGTGTAAGTGTAAGGCAATTAAAATTTATGACGTCTGGGAATGTAGTATCATCTTTCATATCAATAATAATATTAGAATTGCATAGTATGCATAGATACAGTTAGTCGAATTTGGGAAACTGTATTAAAATAAAATCACACTTGTGTAATTTGATACAAAATTAAGCTTTTTGTACAGTAGACTTGCGATTATCTGAGGTAATTGGGACCGTGACTACCTCGGATACCGAAAGAACTCTGTCACTGAGATTGGTTATACTGATAGAAAAATGTGTACCTATGTTAATAATGATTAATGTGTTTATTTTAATAACTAAAAACTGATATAAAAGTAGCATAAAAGATAAAAAAAATTAATTTATAAATGTTTTAAAAAAGTCTTTGATTGATTTTTGTTTCAACTTCATTCCTCTTTTTGGGGCGGCGATGTTGCGCCAACGTTGAAAATGAAGGACGTCTAATGGTGTTGATTCTTCTTGTTGCTCAATGTATACGAGAGCTGCTTCAAGGGACTTAAATCCTTCGGAATGAGAAATCTTTTGAGTTATCCCATCTGTATCTTCTTCTTCTTCTTCATGGGTGACGTTTAGACCTAGATTGGCAATTGTATCATCTGTCAGTTCCACTTCTTCATTTAGATTCCTCCAATCGATGATGTCTTGGTTTACGATTGTTTGTTCTACTAGTAATTGATTGGCTAGGTGGGCTATAGAATCAACTTTACAGTCATCAGTTTCATTTTGAACGTCTTGTGTTTTGTTGTCTATCTTAAATAATTTTGCACTCATATTGCACAGAAAGATTCTCCCTTACACTCACAAAAATCAACTTATGAAAAATTAATTATGAAACCGAAACTAATAACTGGAATAAATTCACAAAACAGTACATAAAAGGAAAAATATTACCGTACAGATACTTAATTTGACGATCTGAACGACAGCAAACAAATCGGTAGTTCAATTCACATTGATTAACATAGAAAGGAACAGGAAGTTGTAGACAAAACACCACACAGAAATTTCTGCACATGAAATCTCTTTCACATCAGCTCGACCTAAAGCATACCTTACAAATAATTCTCTTCTTATCAATAATCCAAAATTACAAAGAACTTATCAGTCCTTAGCGTCCTCTGATGGGTTAATAAATTATGAAATTTACAGGTGTATATTATTATTATAAGTAATTTTTTGTACTTGAAATAAATTTAGTTTTTTACAAAACTAATATGCACCATTTAAAATGTTTACAAAAAAAAACAAAACAAAACAACAATTTAACTTCAAAGGTAAATGAACCTCAACGCAACACGATACAAAAATTAAAAAATGATATGGAATGATCCAATTATCCAATCCAAAAATTAGAATTTGTGAAACTTCAAATCAAATAATACGATAGCACAATTTCAACTTACATTGCAGAAGACTGCCGACCGAGAGCGAAGTATACCGATTCTCCCGATCGTATATTATATTTTAAGTTCCAGTACTTGGCAACACTGTCGCTGTTCAGATAATTAAATTTCGAGAAAATCAAAATATTAAAATATGATGCACGTGCTGCCATCTATTCAAGAAATTGTTAAACGTTAGTTTATTTGAACACCACTCATTTTAACTGCGGCGTGAATACCCCCTTAATTAAAATCAAATACGTCACATTTTGAGGTTATGTTGACCGATTTATTTTATTCAATTTTAATATTTTGCGTTTTAAATTAAAATAAACCATAATTAAACTCTTTCTGATGTTAATTTTATGTTTTTATTTACAAATCAATAATAATAAGCAATTTTTAATAATTTTGACAGCTGTTGTGCCATATTTGCTGTAATTAAATATTTGATTACAATTAAGTTTTGATTAGCGTTCGAATAACTGACCGTTAATGTCTTGAAAATTATTAAACCGGTATTAAATTTACTCTAGCTAAATGTATTTTTCTACTCAAGAAATTGTGAAACCGTAAGTTCCGGTTTCACAATTTTCCCTCGCATAACTTTTAATGCTCAATACGAATCAGTCATCAGTTTTTCTATATTTGGTGCAGTTAAGATGCAGTTTTGCATCATAACAACCCGGATAGATTAAAAAACTTCAATTAAACTTACCTTATGTGAATTCTTAATGGCATTATATTGATGAACAAGGTCGACTATAGCGTGGGATACATCGTTCATGTAGACACAGGGAGGAAGAGTATCCAAACAAATAGCATGAAATGAATTGGAATCTTTCATAGTAATTTCGGCAAACGTTTCAAAATCCTTTTTCAATATAGCTTCTTTCATAGCTTCCACTCTTTTAGGTACTACAGTATTGGCTCTAAATGGCAGAAGGTCTGAAGTTTCAACACTTTTCTTCATTCCTGAAGTTGAACTGTATTTTTTTCTTTCGTCGTTCACTACCAATATTAATATCTTCATCTCTGGCCAATGCGATAAAGGAGCTATTTGGTGTGCTATGGAATCCTCTCCAGTCGATGTTATTCCTTTACTCCATTGAACCTGAAAACATTTTACAATTTAATAATTATGAGAATATATTTTTAGAACGAACACCTTCCAGGAAATATTTTATCAACATATAGAAACCGATCAGAGGAATGTTAACATTGCAATGTTAACAATTGAATGTAACTTGAATGAGAAACGGTAATTTAGAATTATACAAAATGTTAATAATATTATATACTAACAGTAAATATCATGATAATAATTCAAACAGAAACCAATGGTTGAGAACGATTTTCAAAATGAGATTTTAAACATATACACAATTTTTCTTTTATTTTATACTGAATGTTATAGTGGATGAATAATATCATACCCATCCTCCATATAAACTTCTACACGCGCTTCCTGATCCTACTCTTGCCACCCCCGTTATATCTCCTTCTATATTGTATAAAGCAGCCAATGCAGCAACAAGACCAGCATATCCTGCTGCCGAAGAAGCTAGACCTGCTGCAGTGGGAAAATTGTTTACTGAACAAATTGCGATGTTCCAATTTAATATTGGCGACTCAGGATTGGTTCTTCGTTTTACTAAAAATAAATTCAATTAGTATTGGTACGTTTTTCTGTATTGTTTATAGCAAAGAAATTAAATCTGATTAGAGCAAGCAAATGAATATACAGAGATATAAATATCACGATTAAAATGCAGTCAAACGAAACAAAACCAATAAAAACAAACAACAAATAGTACTTGACGATCTGTTATTAAAAGAAGTGAATCATTTAAATTCCTTAGGTTATTACAAATAGAAGCATTGATAAAAAAATTGATAGGTTTCAGGATATATGCTGAACAATTCACAGAAAATTGAAGAACTATCGCTAAATGAATTTTTAAACCTATTTCATTAATGTATTTACATACATAGAATAATAAATGTCTTTATTAATAAACAAATCAACTTTATACAACATTATAGCAGTAGGGCGAGATTGTATAGCAATGTAAAAGCAGTATACAACAATAATTCCACCTAACCCCGATGATAAGATAGAGAGACTGTGTTTAAATACCGAAATATGTATTTTACCACGGATAATAAAAATATTACATATTAAATTTATAAATTTTAAATTATTGTTCAGCTACCAACTACTCATAAATGATTCTCTTGAATTTAACACCAGACAAATTTCTAATATTGTAGGACAAACTGTTTATATTGCAAGCAATTGGATAAGAAAATGAACGTCTAAATAAATATATTATATGATTAGGTACACTGAGGGTATTCGTGTGCTTAAGATTAAGATTATGATCAAATTAAGATTTCATCAAAATTGTTCACGGCAGCTCTAGAGTCAATATTTAAGAGCACTCAATGGCAAGATATGGGCATCAATATAGATGGAGAAAGATTAAATCACCTAAGGTTTGCAGATGATGTTGTATTAATCGCAGATAACTTACATGATACAGTTTCTATTATGCATTCGCTTAAAAGTCTGTCAGAAAGAGCAGGATTAAAGATAAAGTTTGAGAAAACTAAGCTTACAACAAATCTCGTAATGAGTGGAAATATAACTATTGACAATAATACCATACAACAAACAGACACTTACAAATATCTGGGGCACGAAATCAAAATAAGCAGAGACAATCAAACACATGGAATACAGAGGCGAATAGGCCTAAAATGAGCAGCATTTGACAAATTAAGCCATAGTCTAAAAAGTTCAATTCCCATGTGTCTCAAGCGAAAGGTTTATAACCAATGTGTTTTGCCTGTACAAACTTATGGAGCAGAGACTTTAACACTCACGCAAAAATCTGCGAATAAACTCAGAGTTACACAACGAGCCATGGAACGTGCAATGCCGAACGTGAGCCTTCGAGACCACATAACAAACCAACAAATCAGGCAAAGATCAGGAGTTCAAGACGTCATCGAAAGAACCACGTCGCTTAAGTGGAACTGGGCAGGGCAATTAGCCAGAGCACAAGATGGACGGTGGACAAGACGTATTATGGAATGGAGGCCCAGAAACTATAAAAGAAGCCGAGGACGACCACCGACTAGATGGACCGATGATATAAAACGTATAGCGGGAAACTGGCTACAAGCGGCCCAGTGTAGAGAACACTGGAAAGAACTGAGGGAGGCCTATGTCCAGCAGTTAACGCGATTGGCTGATTGATGAAGGTGAAGACAATACTTATCCTTTGAAATTTCCTAATGCCAAAAATCAAACGCAAACAAGAATTTTACAATTCCTGTAAGTATTGTATTACAAGGACAGATCTAAATTCGTAGAGAGGGACTAGGCTGTGGTTTGTTCAAATGCTAATCTTATGGTCAAACTTCCCTCACAGATCACCATTTTCAGTTAATAACTATATTCGATGTAGTACTTAAACTAACTTACTAATTTTAATATTCTCTCAGTGGTATCTCAGAAATACAATGTCAAGAAACTTACTATAAATTCAGGAAATAAATAAATAGATAAAATTTATAAGGATTCCATCACGGAGCAGTCTTAAAGGTTATGAAGTAACGGACAAAACTGCGCAGAGTTTAGCAACGAGCCCCGACACAGGAATATTGTATGAATGCGCGTCATCTTTTGTGATATAAATCTGTCTGAAACGTCAATGGTCTCAATAACAATCCACATTTAAAATCGATTTTAAAACAGAACATACTCTAACACATTTGTACTTATTTTCCAATAACGAACCCCAGTGGAGTGAACTATACAACGTTGCTTGGAGTACCGGATATTTATTAATTTCATTAATATAATATACTATATGGGGCCGAGAGACCTGCCCCTAAGGGGGAAGAATCAGTGGTTTGGTCAGCGTCATAAGAATATAGAAGGCAACGAGAAACCACTATATTAAAGATCCCTATGAATATCTCTAGTACAATAATAATGGCTGTACAACATAACACAAACTCGCTTACTGATCATGGGCATCGGAGACCAAGATCCGGCCAGAGAGGTGATTCCCATGACCACGGGGCCTCCCGGCTAGTTAATATGCAAAATCCCTGTGAAATGTCCAATAACACACCTATCAGAAAAAATCCACACCAATTGTCTGAAAAGAATATCGACTTGGATCGTTAGGACTATGGCTCAATTAGAAAAAATCCAATGCGCAATCAAAGAAATGGAACGCATGAAAATATCAGTAATGAGCACAAGCGAAATAAGGTATTCTTTGTTTCAAGTTAAGAAAATAACATTACGCTTATGGAGATCAGTGTTGCCAAAACTCTCAGACACTCTCTTTTGCACGGATGTCCAAGATATTCCCTTTGCTTAATTTTTGAATTTTCATTTTCAATTAACATTTAACTGTAAAGTCAGAATAACTACTAAATAAAAGCCTTATTATCATTATGTAGTCAGAGAACGACATAAAATAGCTGACATACGCACATCGTATTATTTTAAGTTGCAATTAGTAATTAGATATACGCATTCCAAGCGGTCAATATTTTCTACTGATTTCTATGATTGATGGCATATCGTATTCTCACCGAAAAACAAATAAACTGTCGTTACTATAATTAAAATAAGATAAAATAAAATTATCTTTTGTAAATACTATTTATCTAATTAAAATCATTTTCCCTACTTTTCATCTCCATGTCTCGAATGGGCACTTTTGGTCAATTACGTTAAAAAACATTATTTTAATTCATGTTTGTGGAAACAAAAATACAAATTATACAACCCTAAATTGTGCTTGTGTGTGTCGTGGCAACGCCGCGTTGCTATCGTCCATAAGAAATACATGGCCCTATCTCCGCAATGTTATTTTCTAAACGTGGAACGTAGTATATATATATATATATATATATATATATATAATATATATATATATATATATATATATATATATATTATAGCCTGACTCAAGTTATTGTGATATAGAAGAATACAGAGTATACTACTCAGGATCAGAAAATGGTAAATATGACAAGGAGTCGAAATTATCACACATAAAAGTATAGCCAAACATGTCAACAACTTCATACCATACCAGTGAATTATAGAATCCTCTTGTTACAAATAAATACGTCACCGATGAGCATTAACATTATACAAGTATATGCACCCACAGCAGACCACAGTGATGAGGAAATATAAGAATTTTACACACATATAAGCGACCTTATAAGAGATATTCCAAGACATTGAACTCTTTATAGTCATGGAAGATTTCAATGCTAAAATAAATAATGGAAAAGAAGGGCAACATATTGGTTCTTATGGATTAGGAGAGAGAAATCAACGAGGAGAAACAATGAGTATCTTTGCAGCTGACTTAATCGTGCTGAACACATTTTACAAACTATCTCCTAGTCGCCTGTATACGTGGAAATCAGCTAGAGACAACTGAGAAGACGTTATTATAAGAAACCAAATAGACTATAGACTTGTTAACAAAAGATATCGAAATAGTTTCAAAAGTGTTAAAACGTACCCAGGCGCTGATATTCAATCTGACCACAAGCCATAAGTGAAAGGAAACACGTGAGAGAAAACTGAAATGTAGTGGAGTAAAAGAAAAAAACCGCTAATGCAACAGAAAGCACAGAAGGGAAGATAGAATCCCTTAACAAAACGATGACGACATTAAAGACAATTTTATGAAGAACGAAGAAGGTAAAAATAAGACATGGATGACGACAGAGATTCTGCAGCTGAGAGCTCCAGGACCAGACGGAGTACAGTCTGAATTTCTTAAACTTCTTGATGATGAATCTTTAAGAATACTATGTAAAATCTTCAATAATATCTATGACACAGGCAATATTCCAAAAGATTGGCTAATTTCAGAATTTATTACGTTACCAAAGAAACAATATAGAGATATGACTTGCGGTATCTACACCTGCTTTGTGGACTACCAAAAAGCATTTGACACAGTTCAACACCGAAAAATGATGGATGTTCTAACAAAAGCCCCAATAGATGATAAAGACTGGCGTATAATACAAAAATTTATACTGGAACAAATTAGCCACAATAAAAACAAATCTTGGAGATGAACCGACGGAAGCGATCCAGATTCTGCGAGGCGTTAGACAGGGATGTATACTTGCACCTATATTATTTAACCTATATTCAGAGGAAATATTTAGTGAAGCCTTGGAAAATTGTGAACAGATGGCACCGTTATTTTTACAGACAATTTAAACAGTTTACAGCAACTAATAATTTATGGTCATCAGCAAAAATAAAATTAGAGACGTCCAACTGCTTATCAAGAATACATCAGTGAAACAATAGTAAATGAACAATGGGATCACTCGCAAGAAGTAAAATATAGAATAGAGAAGGCTAGGAGTGCATTCGACAACATGGCCAAACTGTTTAAAAGCCACAACCTTAATCTGGAAATAAAATTAAGGCTAATACGATCTTATATCTTCTCGATATTATACTACGGAGTTGAATCCTGGACACTCACTGAAGCGATGGAGAAAAAACTTGAAGCCTTCGAGATGCGGCTATACAGAAGAATCCTAAGGATATCATGGACGGACAAGATAACCAACGAGACTGTACTACGAAGAATGGAGAAAGAAAGAGAAGTGATGTATACGATTAAAAAGGAGAAAGTTTTTTTTTGTGGCTTTAGCACTTAGCTATTTAGCCAATTACGTATTGAGAAATAATAAAAGAAAAATTTCTAATTATTTAATTAATGTTAAAGTTAATAATAATATCAATATTCTAATATAATTAATACTAAAGAAGAAAGTTAAAATATCTCGGACACATAATGAGAAACGGCACTAAATACAGATTACTGAAAATATTCCTTTAAGGCAAAGTATTCGGAAAGCGAGGAATTGGGAGAAGAAGAATATCATCACCAAAAGAAGAATATACTATAGAGTATATTATATCGATTATTAATTTACTATCAAAAATATGATCAACGATATCACTTCGATCTATCCAACTTGTCCGCGCTGCTAGATGAAATGTGACTTATAGAAATTCTAACAAACTATAATAAATGTCTTAACTTTGTAAATAGTATGTACCAGTTCTATGTAAATTGAGTGTTCAGAGGTCACATGATTTATTATTCTGCAGTCACAAAGATTTTAAATTACAAAGACGTCTAAAATATATTTAGATATTTATCAAGAAAAACATATGTTTAACATACTTACTTTCCTTTAAACAATTTTGCAGTCTTGGATTGTCAAGTGATTGCTGTTTGCCATTCAACCAAAAAACATCTTCTTTCAGAGACGGACTAGCTAGAATAGTAGTTTTAGCGCACATCTAAAAATTTTAATTGCGTTATTGGTACAGTTTAAAAACTACTCAGGGAATAAAAAGACTTTAGGTTTTGTTTAAACTTTAACTACAGGGTAGGAGCTATTCAGTATGCTAGCCGCATTAAATTTGCCATAACATCTGATAGGCGTTGCTCACACTTGCACCTATACCAATCATTTATATATTATAAGCTTAGTTAGCTGTAAATTGATTGCTAAAAAGATGGATAAATCGAATAGATGAATGGGTAGTGACACAGATTTTATGGAGCATCAGGATATCTCAAGCAGTAACGTTTTATCCAGATTTATTGATATTTATTTATTACTATTACAGAGTTAACCATGTACCTCATATAAAGTGTCTAAAAATTCACGAAAGGTTTGAATTTGTCGCCATTTGTGCAGTGCAGTGTTAACAACAAAAAAAAGTTTGACAGCTGACAGTCTAGGTTTAGTAAAAATGGAATGTTACACGAGAGAACGAGTTGTCTTATTTTGTACCATCTTCAATCAAATTTGACCTATTGTAAATTATCAGTACTTTTTGCAACGCCATTGCTTCGTTATGTTAGGCATTAGGTACTGTTCCGAAAAATTCTCACCACTGCATTTGAAACCAGATCTACTTATAGAGGGAACAGTTGCAATACAGTAAGACGGGTATACGACAATACAATGTGATATATGTGTACTTCAAGATTTAGTCTATAAAGGATTGTTTTTTTAGAGTAAATGTAGAGCATTTCAAATATTATATTTTCATGATAAAATATGATAAAACAAATTATACTTACGAAATCCGTACTGAGGGTAGCACTTAATGAATCATTGATTGGTAAAATTAACTCCTCGTCCCTCTTTCCCCCTAAAATGAAGACCAACTCCATGATACATATACTTCATTAATTAAAATCATCAGTTATAGTATCGTATACATATATAGAAAATTTAATGAAAATTAAACTTACAATACTTAATGACTGCTATGTTCACAGGTGCCTCAACAGTTACTATCTTCATTTTGTATTCAATCTCTATCTAAAAATATATTAAAACTGATCAAATGTAAATATATATCTATGCACGAATAAAAATAAAATAAAGAGAACGATTTCCGAAGTGGAAATTGAAACGTCAATAAACGTATTTTTATCTTTACTTGTGGCTTATTCCCAGTTAAATAGTAATTAAAAATAAAGCTGTTATAACTAAAATCAGTTATGGAATAAAATGTAATAAAAGCATCAAGCATCAATACTTCAGGTGCCCTGTTCTAACAAAGGTTGGCGATGACTTCTTGCCTGTCCTGAGCCTTTCTTAATAGTGACTAAAAGTCTAAGCCAGTCGATTCTTTTTTGTTTCTTAGCGACGTCATGTCCTCTACCAGGGTCTCCCGTTATTAGCTGTGGAAAGAAAAGTTTATAGAATCTTTAACAGGAGGTGAAATACCCATATCTCAAATATTTCCAGTCTTTGAACATACAAAACATTTCATCTGATCATCAGTAGTACTTCAGCGTCAGTTTAAGATCATTTGCAATTCTTAGAAAAGCTTTTCTGACCTGTTCTCTCCCGTTTTTATCTCGTAATCGGACTCTGTTGTATTATCGATTAGACATCCAAGGTATCTAAATCTTTCCACGTGCTCAATGGAATGTCCATTCTTCTTTTTCTTTAAGTGTCATACGTTTTCAGCGTGTATACGTTCATCCGCCATCTATTTGTTATTGCCCTTCTCTGACCAGCGTAAAAATTCAATTCGAATACAATTCGAATACTGCACCAAACTCTTATATTTCGCTGCCCCGAATATTGCTTTCTTCCTGGACCTTTTCTTCCTTCTACTTTTCCGATTAAAATTAACCTCAAAACCTCATACTAATGATCTCTTCGTTAGCAGTAGCTTACGAAAAGTTCACATTTCGAATGCTTGTATGTGATTAAGTGATTTTGATCCAAGGGACCATGTTTCATCCTCGGTGAAAGACCCTGTATATTTTTATATTTTTTAAAAGCATATCTTAACGAATTATATCATGTAGGGTCTATTATGAACAGTACAGGGTGGAATTTTGTAGTTATATAGAGTTGATATACTATGTTGATAGACAAGATACCTATGTCAATCAGTTACCAGCTGTAGTCCGTTTGAAGAAGTTTACTCTCCGGACTCTGGAACTCACTTCAACCATGGGTGTATGTTACCTGAAGTCAAATTCAATTTAATATTTAACATCACAGATTTATAACAACATTATGTGCAATCTTTTACAACTATAATCCGACAAGCGAGTGCTGGCGGGTGAGCTGCGCCAAAATAGAAAAGAAATTATTCTAACAGAGATAGGAGAGGTACTCAATCGCGATTATAGGTATATAGTATAGGTACTTAAACGGTTATACACGATGTGAACTCCTAGACGACTGCAATAGAAATGAGCAATCCCTTCAACTTTTCAATTTGTTCTACGCGCAACCCGCCAGTTCTCGCTTGTCGGGTTATACATGTAATTTAAAGGGTTTTTACCCTGATATTTTGGTTGCTCAGGCATGTTAACCTTGTAAGTATAACCATTTTTGCTTTTTAACCCTAGTCAAAATCAAAAAATTTTAAACCACGTTTGTTTCAACTAAATGGTTTATATTTATTTTAGGCAATTTTAAACCTGATGATGTAATGTTTTATTCCGAAAACGTTTGTTTTTTTTTTATGTAGCCCTTTTAAGGGTTTTTTAAATATACCCATTTACGAAGATTAACCTCTTTTTTGTAATAAGTGGTATGCAGCCAGCTACAGGAATTGTTTTCCTTGTGGATTTTAAAAATAATTTCATTCCATAAGTGATTTCCACACTGCATAATATCAAAATTTCTCCATATATTATTCATAATAGGCCTGTTATACTCCGTTGATATCAGGTTGTTAATTATCTTTTAAAAATAGAAAAATATACAGGGTGTTTCATTAAAATTAAAAACTATGAACCGTGATATTATAACAAAACAAGACATGCTCACTTGCCGTTCTAATTTTAATCGACTTTGCACATGACCTCATAGCGAGACAAAGCCGGGGGACTTGTGTGTATCATACTTTAACAATGCATCATATGGCAACGGTGTTCCATTACTGTAATGAACAACTTCGAAACTTAGTTAACGGTAAGTATACCTCGATGCCATATCTTGCTCTAAGAAGTCATGCTTGCTTACTTTCTGTGAAAACGTGGTTTGAAAATTAATAAGTAATTTGTAAAATTAATTAAAGAAATATATGAATCTACGATTTGATTGTGTGTATTACAAACAAAATAAATATTGCTACAAAACATAAATTAAATATAAAAGGCCGGTAAAATGTAAAGTCTACATCTAAAAAAAGTAATTTTATATCTTCGCTAACATTTATATATTTTGCTGCTTTTATTAAGTTTTTTCAATAATTTTTTGTTATTTTTAATGTGTCGCCACCATTATAACTACGAAAAATATGTTCCAGTTCACTACATACTACATACATCCAAAGTAACTTTTTTTAAAGACCTATCAAAAATGAAGTATTATTTTATTAAGTTCTATTAAAATGGATATTAGTATATATTATTATCTATAGAAACATTTGCTCTGTTGTTAAAGTGTGTCTAAAACCAAAATACATGTTTTTTAATAAATTTCTTTTCTCTGTTTTCAGGCGATGTTTTAGCGCTTATGGATTTTATTAAATGAAGAGAATGTATGGCATCATTTCTTAACTTCCACTATTTGTCAGACAATCTCAATAGTTTTTCTTTTAAACAATAATCAGCTTCTGTAAAACGTTTTGAGCATATTCTCGCGGTTTCTACATTAAATTCGTCTCGCTGAAAACACTTGGAGACCCATACTTTACGCATTTGTTTGTCTCTAGGAAACACAAAAAAACGGCACGTCGAAAAAGTTTAACTTTTTTTTATTATTATTGTTTACACAACCCACCACTGCACAATACATTATGGTAAACAAATAATTAGTCTTCTTTATAAAGTAGCTACAGGTAGTCGAGAGGAAGTTGCGTATGATAAACAAATTAGGTGATATTAACACAGTAAGCTGAATGTTTTCACCACAAAATTTATATAACAATATAATATACTTACAAAATCTTTACTACATCAATGAATAAATAAAAATATAAAAATATCAACACAGCAACATAATTAACATGAACACTTACGAGCATTTAACTTGCCGTCATTAGAGTTGTCTCGGGCTTACGTCACAAGAACATGCGCGTTGACTTATCTTGTTTTGTTATAGTATCATGACTATGGACTATGAAATACTTGCGTGGATCACCCTGTACATTTAAATTTATATTTAAGAAGTGCACATTTATATTTAAAAGTTGACGGGTCTCAGCGTGTTTTATAATTTTTATTAAGGACACAAACAATGTTATTCCAAAGTGGTTATATGGAATAAAATTGTAAACCTTTTTTGTTTTTGTATACTCGGTTTTCGGTTTGAGTTGTCATAAACTCTTTTTAATAAAACTAAATATATAAATTTAAACACAGTTGTATTTTGATTAAAACTATTTACTCCAGTGTGACCCAAGTAATAAAAAAATGTTGATTAACTCCATTTAAAATCCGAAACAAGCACAACCAAAACATTTATATGAAATGAATATAATTTATAAACATTTTATCATAAATAGTTAATTAACGTTTTTGTTGTGAATATATTAATAGCAGCAAAACATTTGCGGTATAAGGTTCATATTAACCTTAATTGTATAAAGTTATATAAAAATTCTATAATGCAAAAAACTTACCTACTGTGCAAAAACCTTATTTTCGTATTCTGCTGATTATAGATTTTTTTAACTATTGCTCATTTGTAAAGTTTTTCAAAACCGGATTGACAATGTCATAACATAATTTTAAATATTTTTTATGTGCTTTTAATCACCTATTAAATAAGCAGTTAATAATTGAAGTAAATAGGATAATTGAGCCGTTGAAAACCAGAGTGGTCTAAGTCAAGAATTTCATGTTTCGCGTTTTCTCGGTATATAATTCTGTTTAACAGTGTTCTATTTTGCTACAAAATTTGAAAAATATTAGTGCATCCGTTCACTCACAGATGACACTACTGTAATATATGTCAAATGCTATGAAGGTTGCCGTTTTAAGGCAAAATGGTCTAAGTCTGACTTGGACTATTCTGCCAGAAATTCTGTCACGAATTTTTTATAAGTGTCACGTTTGCTTGTAGTAAAATGAGTTCTAGTGAATCTGTAAATGAACCGTTTAGAGCTAGTGATAGCGAGTACGAGCCAGAAAACAATGACGATTCAACAGATTCTGATTCTGATAGCGGTAAGTTTATTTTTTTTATTTCCTTTTATAACCTCAAATGTGTGAATAGCAGTATTTTATTTGCACGTTTGTTTCAGCTGACAAACTTTCGAAGTTAAAATTGGGCGAGTAGAAGCCAGAAAACAATGACGATTCAACAGAATCTGATTCTGATAGAGGTAAGTTTATTTTGTTATTTCCTTTCATAACCTCAAATGTGTGAATAGCAGTATTTTATTTGCACGTTTGTTTCAGTTGACGAAAGTTCGAAGTTAAAATTGGGATCAACTACCAAGCACGTCGGCAGAAAACGAAATAGAGAGCCAAGTAAACACATCAAGAATGTTCGAAAAGAAAAAAGAAACTGTGGGGAACAATATGTGTCTACATCTAATAAAGTGGTAAAAGCGAAAGAGTTTAATAACAAGGAGTGTACGTGCAAGGGCAAATGCATTCAAAAAATTTCTCAGGAAGAAAGGAAAGCTATCTTTACAAATTTCTGGAACATAGCTAATTTTTCAGCACGAAATGCTTTTCTAGTTGGTATTGTAAAATTGTCTAAACCAGCCACTCACCGTCCAAGAAATGGTACAAGGCAGAAAAAAGCAGTATCCTACACTTATGTCCTAAATACCCCGAAAGAGTCTCATAAAGTGTGCAAAATGTACTTTTTGGAAACCTTTGCAATAAGTAATGGTAGGTTAATGCGTGCATTAAAAAAGGGGGAGATATCATTTCCTGGTGAAGATTTAAGGGGCAAACACACACCTAGCAATAAAACTCCTGAAGGAAATATACAGTTAGTACGCGATCACATAAACAGCTTTCCTTCTTATGAATCTCATTATACACGAGCTCATAATCCTATAAAAGTTTTTAGATCCAGAGCTCAATGTACGTACAATGTATACCCTGTACAAAGAGAAATGTGTAGAAGATCCTGTGTCACAAAGTTTATACAGACAAATTTTCCATCGCGATTTCAATCTTCACTTTCACGTACCATTAAAAGATACATGTGTTAAGTGTGACAAATACAAAAATCAGGTGACCCAGGAAAAGGACGAGAATACGAAGAAAGTGCTTCAATCACAACACGAGCTGCATTTACGGCGCAGTGAAAAGGCCAGAGCTGCTTTGAAAGACGCTAAAATTACAAGCATACGTGAAAAAGGGAGAGTGTGTGCATTCACGTTTGATTTAGAAAAGGCCTTACCGTTTCCAACTTTGACTTGCTTTGTAGCCTACTATAAAAGAAACATGTATGTGTACAATTTGGGTATTCACGAGTTTAGCGACGAAGCCAAGGTGTTCCTGTATGCCTTGGATGAAACTATAGCCTCTCGAGGAGCACAAGAAATAGGATCTTGTATTCGAAAGCATGTTCTAGAAAATGCAAAGGACGCAAGACACATCATTGCATTTAGTGATGCCTATGGGGGGCAGAATAGGAACTTTAAACAGTGTTTGTTTTGGTTGAAACTCATTGCAGATTCCGATAATTTGGAAATGGTAGACCATAAGTTTATGGTATCTGGACATTTCTTTCTCCCGAATGATCGTGATTTTGGTGTAATCGAACAATACGCAAAGAATAGAGTGAAGTATGTGCCGTACGACTGGTACAGTGTGTTTGAGAAGTGCCGCACAAAGAAACCGTATCGTGTTTGCAAGATGAACGGAAATAATTTTGTATCGTCACAAAACCTGGAAGCAGCTGTTACCAGAAGAAAGAAAAATGAAGATAACGCGCCAGTATCGTGGCTTAAAATTCAATGGCTACAATTTAGAAAGAGTGATCCCTATAAAATATTTTATAAAGAAACATTAGATGAGGAGTTTCCTTTTGATGTCATAAACTTGCAACCTGTACGAAAAGGACGTATCGCCAATTTTCAAAATATTGAATTTTCAAAACTGTATGAAGCTCCAATACCAGTTACGATTAAGAAAAAAAAAGGATATGGAAGATCTTTTGGCGTTTATACCGCCCATTCATCACGACTTTTTCAAAAATTTATCCGTAAATGGAAACAACACTGCAGAAGTAGGTCCACTGGAAGATATTTTGGTGGCGAATGGAGACGACGATGTTTTTTATGAATAAAAATTTAATTTGTAATAATATAATACACAAAAATACACGATTGTTTGTAAGTCTAACTTTTTTGCTTTACTCCAAAATAATGAACCTATTGAAAGCCAGAGTGGTCTAAGTCAAAATATTAACAAAAAATATAAAAATTTCGACTGCTGGCTGATTGTTCCGCTGGAATTACTTAAGTTTAAGCTTTTTTTATTGAAAATCATTCTGATCAAAGTCAGTTTTTATGTTCCCATTTAACGCCAACATGTTAACTTTAAGTCGTTGTTTCTCGAATTTCAATATTTCTCACTTAGACCACTCTGGTTTTCAACGGCTCAATTGTTATAATCTTCTAGGGGACTCATCTTTTTTGTATAGGCATACTAAATTATTACTTTTATTATGTTTATTTTAAAAATATCAGTAATTTAATATACGCCCTGCCTGTATATCAAACATATGTAAATGTAAACATATCAAAAAAATCATTGTGAAAATTGTAGATCTACTCAGAAATATTCAACCACAATAGAGTGCAATTACCCCCCCTCTCTCTCTCTCTCTCTCTCTCTCTCTCTGCAATGGCGCTACGGCGCAAATCTTCTCTTGGTATTCTCCAAACTATACCTCTAACCTTGACGGTCCCATGCCGATCCCCTACATGTTCTCACTTTTAGCAAATTTTGCGCATCCACTGTCACTTCATCTTTCCACCTTTTATGTGGCCTTCCTTTTGGTCTGTGCTCTGTATTTTACTATCTAAGGCTTTTTTCAGCAATCTTTTAACTACACGATCAGCCAATCAAAGTCTCTGATGTTTAACGAATTCTGAGATCAGAGCCTCTTTGAACAGTTGGTAGAGAACATACTCCATTTGAAATTAACTAGCCTCTGTTATAATAAACAACAGAAGCTGTCAACTTTAAATATGAAATACACAGATTTCTCTAGAATCAGAACACCAGAGTGAAAGCTTTTAAGGCCAATATTCGAAATGAAAATATGTAAATGCATCGACTTTCCATGTAGTCATAACTATGAAAATCTCGAGTCATAACTATGAAAATCTGGAGTAATGAAAACTATATTTAAAACAAAATGGTATTTTTAGATAAAGTAATTTGACATTTAGTTGATGAATGCTAAACTTTTACTGTATATAGATGCATATGGCACTACAAGTTGCCCATATGCAATTGGAATCCCAAACTGAAGGTAAACAGGACTGGCTTCAAAGATTTGATTCAAGTAATTTATATTATTAAAATGAGACAAAAATATTCAAAACTATAATAAACAAAAATAAAACAAAGGTTGTTAAACACATAGTGGAATTACCTCTATAGCTGAAGTAAAATTTTTAATACTTTAACATCACCAAAAACATGAAATAAAACTTATATTTTAATGTACTTAAATTCTATATAATCACATAAAGATGATGCGTAAATATTGGCTCTCATAATATCTTTAGAAATGTGTGTTTCCCATAAAATATTGCATAAATCTTTGTTAATGAGCCTTATAAATGTTAGATTATAAATCTAAAACAAGTTAGATTATAGTTAGGTAGTACAGGAGATCAGGAAAATCTGTTTTTTTTTCATGAAAGCCATCTGTTGCAAACCTGTCATACTGGAGCCAGTTGACTTCCTGTACATGTTCCATATACTCACAATACCAATTCCAGGATTCTGGAACCCTGTACCAGCTAATACAGGTCTAGAGGATAGCTACCATATTCTTTTTGGAGTTACTTGGTAGTCTCCAAAAAGTATTTGCCACCTGTGATCTAATAACTCATGGCCATGCAAGATATTGATTAAGATCCTTTGCTACAGAATTTGCAGCTAGCTAGGAAGCCTAATATGACTTAGCTGATTCCTGCTTGTTTTATGCAGTACTTCAGCCCTAATGTTTTTGCAAAATAATCAGGTAATGAATATTTCTTTCCAGATCTTTCAGATCATAGAATACATCTGTCAGTATGGAATAGTCCATGAGGACAAACGAGCCCTTCAAAATCCATAAATAATATTTTTTAACTTTCATTTTTAAACACTTTTTTTAACAACAAGCCTAATTACAAAAAAACCAATCTAGTGATATACATAACTCTTACCAAGCCCATCCTCACCTATGCATCAGAAACATGGACAATGACAAAGAGTGATGAAGAACGTTTAAGATGCTTTGAATGTAAAATCGTCTGGCATATCTATGGAGGAGTATAGGAGGGCGGATTATGGTGTAGACGCTATAATTACGAACTTTACTGCCTGTATGACAAACCTGATATTATTAAATTCATCAAAATAAACCTGCGGTGGTTAGGTCACATAGAGAGAATGAATGATATGGAGCTGCCAAAACATATTTATAACCAAAGAATAGATTGAGAGAAAAGAAGAGGCAGACCCAGAGCACGATTTCAGGAGATTTCATGAGGATCAGATGGAGGAAGACTTGAAAATGTTGGGAGTATGAAACTAGAAAACCAAGGCGAAGAATAGAAGAGAATGGAGCCTTATCCTTAAGCAGACCAAGACCCATCATGGGTTGTGGAGCCAATGAAGATTAATTACTTTTATTATAATGATAATAAAGATCAGATAAAGGCTTCTAAACTATTTTCAAATAAAATGCAGGGTACTAGTGTAATAAGCCGGATGTTTACGGAGATGAAATTTATATCAATGAATTCTGTTTCACTTACTAATTATTGTGCAATGATTTTTATTCGGTGGAAAACGTTCTTTTTTATGTAATTTCCATTTAAAATATATTTAGGAGTAAAAAGATCGAATTTACTTAACGTACGACTAACCTTAGTTTTAAACTGAAGATGTTTTTCTCATACAACATACACTATTTAACTACAGTTATACTTCCAGCCAAGCAACTGTTATTTTGAATGAAATTTAAATATTTATATTTTTGTTTACTTTCATTATCCAAAAACAGGTGAACAGGTTAGTAGTTCACTTGACACGTCATCACATCATGCTAAGTAGTTCATACTATATGGAGTAGTTCATATAAACAATATATTTCTTATATTTTTCTGAACTTTTTTATAAATTAATAAACAATATGTTTTTAAATATGTAAGCGATTTAACTAAAATATTTAGACAATGTAAATTTAAAGAGAGGATTTGAAAACAAAACAAGGATTTCAGTTGTTTCAGCAAAGAATAGACGCATATAGACGGTTTCAAAATGACATTGACAACACCTGTCATTTTCCAATAAGTTATAAAAAGTAATAGTACATTTTCTACATTTTTTGGTTTAGTTTACTGTACCAATTTAAATTAATGTAATATTTAAACTCTTTTAAAAATGGAAATGAAAGAGGAACAAATAGAATGTATTTATACAGAAAATATTTTTGCTGAACCGTTAACTATTGTGAAATCTGAAAATGAATATGACAATTATAACTTGTCTCCCTGTATAGAAATATATTCAACTGAAATTAATATTAAAGATGAACCTCAAGACGAATTCGATACTTCCTTATTTCATAGTCAAGGGACCAGTTATCAAAGATTTCAACAAAACAGTTTGTCTCATACCAGAAACAAATTATCTAGTTGTAGCAAAGTGATCCAGAACAAAAAAAGAAAACTAAAGAAAGAGTATCATTGCCCTGTATGTTACAACAGTAAGTTTAATCTGATTATAGTATCTTTGAATTATTAGAAGGAGAATACTGTGTTACAGAATGTTTATTGAAGTATAGCGTGGAATAAAATAGATATAGCTTGGCTCATACCAGGAGACTTTTTTGCAAAGTATTCCTAATAATATAAAATTCATATTATAGTTATACTGTTGTCCTTTATTTTAATTATATTAAGTCTGCTTATGTATGTAACTTGAGTATAAAGAAATTTTATCAGAAGCACCAGTGGCTTTAGGAATATGTACAATTTTGAGAATATAAATTACATGTTCATCTGTTGGACAGAAGAGGGGACCTACCAGTAAACATATAATGAAATTTTCAATATCTGTACCAATGATATCTACAAGTTTATTACTACACTAATTAGTAGGAAGTTTGGAGTACCATCGATGACAGTTTGGAATTTTAAGGCATGAGAGACTATTTCCATAGCATTCCATTATATTTTGGAATATCAATTTTAGTATTTACTTGTATGTAAAATTATTAGGATCACTCTGTAAGATATAATTCTCCTTTTGAATAATAATAAAGCTACCATGCTTTCAGACATTAACCAATTCGCTGCGTATACCTGATCCTTGACCATCCTAAGGAGCTGCACATGATTTTTTCAATAAAAACTTTCTGTAGCGATTTTACCCGTTTCATGTATTTGTATTATAAGTATACTAAGGTATCAATGTCATAAATTATAGTTTTTATAACAAACGCCAAATGGCGTCATACGCACATACTGTAATGTTTGTGGAATTGTGCATAATGGCGTTTCTGAAGACTCATCATCTTGCTCAGGATCGCTCAGATCTTCATCAATCTCTGATTCGTACAAATATTGCACCATTTCTTCTACCATCAAACATTTTGGGGTTTTTTACAGTTATTTTACGCCTTTTTTATGCTAGATGGACCTGCTTGATTATCGTCCATGTCACCCATTTTCTAATTTCGCAAATTTGGCGAAAATTTCTTTCGAATTAAAAACTGATGGTATTATAACTTAAAATACACCTTTGACAATATGCGTACAACACCACGTCCACTTACACTGCGTTTTGATTACTGTCTAAGTAAATTCGAAAGGAGCTCTGATGCCAAATGGCGGCGTGCGCACTGGGCATCAGATCATTGCTCCGCCAAATGGCGTCATACGCAGTGAATGGGTTAAGGAGTGTGGTATAAAAACATTTTCTGTCCAAAAACGTACATGACATTTTTTATATTAACACAAATTTAAAATATATTTTTTTATTTTAGATTTTACCCCAAGAAAGATACATCAACATGTGGATATCCATTTTGGGAAACATCTTAATATATGTAAGATTTGCGGAAAGATAACCTCCAGAACATCTGAGTTTTTAACACACTATTTCATCCATCGTATAAAAGTAAAAGTAAAAAATAAGTCAACTTATAAGAATACTTCTAATATTAAAATTTTGTTAAAATCGGCATTAAGACATAATAATCATATAAAAAAATCGTCAAATAAGGTTTTGGAAAGGAAATTTGAATGCAAAAATTGTGGTGGTTTATTTAAAAATAAAATTCAGTTAAAGAAACACAAATGTTTAAAAATATGCTCCAAGAAAACAAGAATCAATAAAAAATGTAGTAAAAACAGAATTAAGCAGCCTTTAAAATGTAAAATATGCTTTAAAAAGTATAGAACCAAATTTAGTTTAAGTAATCATTTAAAAATACATAAGTTAAACATGTTAACATGTCGTTTTTGCAAAAATCTATTCCTTAGGAAAAACTTCTTGGCTCATATAAGAACCCACACTGAACATGGCACTTTTACATGCTACTTTGATTATTGTGCTAAGATATTTCAGACACAATTTGATCTGGAAAACCATTTATTATGCCATATGCCAATAAAACGTTTCAAATGTAATATTTGCTATAAACCGTTTATGGAACAGTCCCAATTAAGTAGACATTACACTTTTCATGCTAATATCCAGAATTATCAGTGTACAATTTGTAAGAAAGACTTTCCCGGAAAAATACATTTGGATACCCATATGTATGAACACACTGGTGTAAAGCCGTTTATGTGTGAGTTTTGCTCGAAGGAGTTTGTTAGAATAGACTCCTTAAAAAATCATCTTAAAAGGCACACAAATGACAGAAAGTTTCAGTGTGATGTTTGTCAGAAAAGGTTTATTAGGAGAATTACCCTGGTGGAGCATTATAGAATACACACTGGCGAAAAACCATTTAAATGTGAGCAGTGTCCTAAAGCTTTCACTCAGAGATCTAGATTAAGAATTCACATTAAAGTTCATTCTGAAGAAAAAACTATTACCTGTGAAGTTTGCGAGAAAAAGTTTTTATTCCAATACCAGCTAAGGAGGCATTTACTTACACACAATGCGAAAAAGAGGTTTGAGTGTGAAATTTGCTTTAAACAATTCATTGAGAAAAGAAATCTAAATGCTCACTTGTTGCTACACACTGGCGACAAACCTTACAAATGCGAACTTTGTTCAAAATCATTTACTTGGAAACATAATTTAAGTCACCATATGAAAGTTCATGAAGAAAAGGCATTTCAGTGTAATGTATGCCAAGAAACATTTTCTCGTTATCATATTTTACAGACCCACTACCGGATACATACTGGCGAAGTACCATTTAAATGTGACTATTGTTGTAAGGAATTTAAACAGAAAATCAGTTTAACCAATCACGTTACACTTTGCCATCCAGATGATGATTCTTCTTGAAAACCAGCCACTCTCTTGTCCTTGTATGTTCATATCTCTATAGACTTAATTTTAATTCTCCATCTCTAACAGAATTTGACTAAGGAAAGTTTCCAAAGAGAATAACCAGTGATTTTGGATATCCTACATTCAGCTGCAGCAATATATGCCTCTTAATAATTTTTCTTTTATCTAATATGTTTTCTAATATATCCACATAATATAGTCTAAATAGACAAAAAGTGGTTACTTCAGAAAAATGTGCATTGTGCTGAAGATTGGTACAAATGTTACAGATAAGTCATGTCCATAACTAAACTAAAATTGTTCACATACCTTTTTTCTGTCACTAATCATCATTCCTCAAATGTAGAGATTACGACAATTGGGTGAGTCATATTTCTTGTAATACACATTTTCCCGTTACTTATGAGGTAGTGTATTTGGTGCTTTCTTTTCATGGTGAGGTAGTGTATTCAGAATCTGTGGTGGTAAATAAAGTTTGATATGAGCTAGTACTGTTGATAATGATCAAACTGAAGCTGATGATTGTTTTGGAATAGTCCATTTATTTTTTGTCTTTCTGTGCAAGTCTATTTCTTTATCAATCTATCTCTGAGGGAAGGGATGCCTTTATTTGCTTTATCGATTACCAAAAAGCTTTTGACAATGTAAGACATGATGTTTTAATACAGGCATTAAGGAAGATTGGTCTTAATGGAATAGATATAAGGATGATCCAACAGCTCTACTCTAATTAAGGATCTTCAACAGTCTATATACAGAACAAGTAGATATAAATAAGGGCATGAGACAGGGAATAAATGGAATCCCTATTAATAATTTGTGATATGCTGATGATACATAGCTATCATAGTAGAAAACAGAAGAATTACTAGAGACAATAAATAATATTAACACGGGGTCAGGATTTAATCAACGTTAACAAAACAAAAACGATAATCAGTAGACAATCCCATACAATCCCACAATTGAAAATAAACAACTAATAGACAGAGTTAAACAGTAAGTTGGACTATGATGAAGTGAAGATACGAGTAGTAAGAGCTACAAATACTTTTACTAGATTCAATAAATACCTTTTTCAACACAAAACTCCTTGGGTTTCTGTTTTCGCGACCTAAAATGACCAATAATACTATACGCTAGCGAGACCCGTTCTCTTAAAGTAGGATCTCTAAACCTTATTGAAGCGTTTGAAATGTGTTTCAGAAGGTTGCATCAGAAGATTTAACATATGTACCAATTTTTAGCTAATTTCTTAATTAGCTTACTATCACTAATTATAAATGCTTGTTATGAGCCACTGGTATTACCATGCGCTCTACCATTGTTTACATGCTCTATCCTTAATTCCATATTCCAAGTGTCTTATTTTTATAAAATATTACAATCTATCTGTAAAATTGCTGGATGGTAGAAAAAGAGTTATATAGGAGGTGGAAACTTGATATAGAGTCGAAATATGACAAAATTTCATTTGTTTTCATAGCCCAATTATTATTACAGTATAAGTTGCTTAATGGATTGAGATTGTTTTTTAAGAGATAATGTTGACAACTTTTGCTACCGCTGATTCAGAAGAAAGTTGCTTATACTAATTAATTTGATCATTAGTCCAGTTACTGATGGTTTTTACCTCCGAATTCTTTATAACTGAATCGATTCATTTAAAATTTTGTGTGTTGGTATATAATTACTCAAGGAACAAAAGTTATGTAGTGCCGATGTGCGCTTCCACCCTGGGGGTTGTTTGCCACCCTTTTTCGAGGGTGGAAATTTTTTCACTCAAAATAACCACGCTATTCGATAGAAGGACAAATTTCAAATAAAAAATGTAAACATTTTGTCGCTAGATCAATACTTGTTGAGTTATTCACTGTTGAAAAGTGTCATTTTTCGTTAAAAAAAACATGTTTTTCAAAGGTTTTTTAAGAATAGCTCTGAAACTAAGAGTTTTATCAAAAAAAGTATAACACCTAAAATTGAAGCTTATAAAAATACAAAAAGATTGACTTTTTAATGAATATTTTCAGTTCAATATTAACTGAGGTATGGCCGTATGTAACGGAAAACGGGTACATTTTCCGACAAAAACTCATAATATATTTAAAAGAGCTTGAAAAGACCTTTAAAATGAGTGATGGTAAAAGTCCTTTGTACCAACTGTACGTGAGATACGATCAAAAAAACGATGGGTTTCTCAAATTTTTGTAAAAAAAACGCAATAAAACTAACGTCATGTTCACTAGAATTGAAATAAATTATTTTCCTTATAGAGTTCACTTTATTTTAGTGTTTTTTTGTATGATCCAAAAGTTTAGCCACTTTAGAATACCCAGTTTTTGAAAAAAGTATGATTACATTTTTTTTTGTTGTAAATATTAAATCTTTTTTTTATAATAACTTCTAAATTATAAAAGATACGTAAAAGATGACACAATACTAAAAAATAGGTTTTTTTTCAACAAAGGTTTTCATTTTTTAATTTTTTTTGTAGCTTAAAAAATAACGGAGATATAGTTGGTTGAAGTTTTGCTTTATAGCGCATGAACCACTGATCTCCGATCCTTTGACCCTTCACCCTTTAAACATGAAGGACTTTAGAATGTTTTAACATTCCTATACTTATAGCCCGTTAAATTACCTGTAAAATCGTTTATATCGTAAAATAGTAATTTTTGAATGAATTTTGGAGCATGGAAAAATTTTATAATTTAAGGCATTGGAGCAATGGAGTATAACAAGTTTTATATAAATATTATTTATTTTTAGTTTTTTGGAAAATAAAAAAATTGTAATGTAAACTAAATTTTTTCTATTTATGTCCATGTCTAAGTTAGGGATTTAAGGATTCTATTTTCATTAGAAAAGGGGTGCTTGTAGGGTTGAAAAAAGTAGGCCCATTTTATAAGTAAAAAATTAATTTTTGTTTACACACAATGCATTCTAAAAATGTTTCAAATCGTTAAAAATATATATTAAGGGGTGGTTGTGGGGGTTGAAATGTTGGAATTATAATAAAATCTTATTTTATAAACAAGAAATTACTTTTTGTTTAATAAAATGCACTCAAGAAATGTTTCAGACCAATAAAAATATATTAAATTAATTTTTAAAAAAAGGGATTTGTTGTGAGTGTTGAAATGTTGAAATTATAATAAAAAGTTATTTATATGCAAAAAATTAATTTTCGTTAAATAAAATGCACTCAAGAGATGATTCAAACCGATAAAAATATTGTTTAATTCATTTTTGTCATAAGGGTGGTTGTAAGGGTTGAAAATTTCCAATAAATAAAATATTGTATAGCTAGGGTATTAATTTTTATTTAAATTTAAATACATAATTGAAATGTCTCAAGCTGCTACGACTTTTTTTTCATATTTTTATAAAAAGTATTAGCTTTTAAGGGTTTTAAGAGTTGAAAATTGTGAATAATTAATTTTAATATTAGAGAACACATTACAATATTTACCTTATGCGAATAAACAAGATTTAAGTGCATAAAATAATTAAATCCGTGTTTTTCTCAGTTTCTTCAATAGGGGTAGTTTTCATCCCGTAAAAACAAAAAGCGCACCTATAGCGTATATAACTTTAGAAGTGGGGGTTAAGATAAACTTAATTTGAAATTTTCAAAGAAATCGATGCAGTTATAAAAAATTCGGAGGCATTACCATATTTTAAGCCTCATTTTAATCAATTTAAGGGCATTAGTGTATACAACGATTTATGCTCTTATAATTTAAAAGCTTTTTGTACCATGTCTGCTGAAATTATTGTTTGGTTTCGTATCAATAACTGGTTAAAACTAAACTACGAAATAAGAAATGTTTTCGTAACATGTATTGCCAAATTTATTTGCAAGTCGTTACTTGATGAAAAAATGTTTACATGGGACAAACACGCAGACCGTTTGAGCATTACTTAATAAGGAGCAAGAAGTTGGGAAAGTTTAACATAAATAAAATTAAAGAGCTGGGATATAATTTCTAACGATTTAACTTAAGATACTTCGTTAATCTCTTTTACATCCCAAATCAGGTAATAAATATTAGTTGAAATTGTTTTTAGAATACGCCTTTTAATTAATATTTGTGATAAATCCTTAGAGAATATCAGCCTTCAGTTTTTTATTTATAAAAATAATTTTTATGAATTCATCAGCCGATTCCGTTAAATATTGTATAAAATAATGCAAAGTGCAATTTTTTAGTAACTTTAATAAAGTATAGCACATAACGATACGATAATAAGTAATTAATATGACACCTTGTTAAAATTATAATTGTATTATTTATACTTATTTATAATTAATTATATAATTAATAAAATATTTTTATTTTAAGTATTTTTATTTACGATTTGTTTTGCCGTCCACACAATTGTTTTTTAAGCATTTCCATATTGATAAGTTTCAACCTATTAATTCTAAAGCTTGGAGAATAAATGAGGCCACCAGAACCAAAGTGGCCCAAGTGACATTTCTCATATTTAAACTTATCACAAAAAACAATGTGAAATAATAATATTTTCAAAGCCACAGTGGCCCAAGATTAGTTTTCTGCGAGAATAACAGATGGCGACACTAGTATTGTTTTTCCATTGTAATTTTATACTCCATTTTAAAAATCATAGTGACCCAGGTCACTTCGCATATACTTGGATCAAGCCAAGGGGAGCTCTATCAGGATTCAGCTTCCGAGTATGTTCTAGATCATCGCAGCAGAATTCTTGAAGATTTGCCTAATGAAGAAGACCAGTCGTCAGTTTCTACAAATAAGACAAGAAAACGCATTCGCAAGGAAAAAATGTGAGAAAAAACGAGCTAAAGGTGAGGAATACACTAACACTAAAGGCGTTCTCGCTAAAACGATAGATACACAATATCGATGTCCCTGTAAAGAAAAATGCCACAAGAAGATCGACCTTGAAAGACAAAGAGTACTATTTTTCAAATTTTATGGATTATCAAATTTCAATTTGCAAAGCTCATA